ATCAAGTCTCTACACTCAAGCTTTAACATGTAACAGAGATTAATAGATTTGGATTCTTGTGTTTGGTTATATCTCAGGCTCCACCTGGAACCGCGAGGAGGAAGAGAAAGGCGGAATCAAGAAAGAAATTTGTGGAGTCAGCATCAAGCAAGCCAGGTCCCCGTGGGTTTGGGTCTGGTAATTAGAAACACAAACCTAAATGGTGGTTCTGTTTCTTGCAACTCAAGCAACAAATATTTTCTTTCTATCGTCTTTAAAATTTACTCGAATGAAACAAAAATGATGTATCAAATTTGGTGAAAAAACTCATAATTTTGAATGTAGAGAAAGGAAACAAGATATCATTGATTTGAATTTAAAATCATAAACTAAAAGGCATACAAATAGTAACACTTTTTGCATATACAAATCAAAAGGCATACAAATTATGACATCACAGTTGATAATTCAGACCGGACTTGGATACTCCCAAATGGCTAAAGTTTTCGATTTTAATATGGAACCGACCATTAGAACCAAACTCGAGGTCCTCACCAAGTTTCACTAATGATACATTCTTTGCATCTCTGTCCACTCGTATCTCAAAGATGAGATCCTCCGACATGGATATTTTGTGTTCGGGAAGTTTCACTTCCTTATCTCCGGAATGTTCTCCTTTTCGGCCATCTCTTTTGAATCTCTCTCTGCAAAATTTTGTATTTAAATTAAGATTCGATTGTACCACGCTTGTACGTGTTAAAAGATGGTTTTGGTGTTCATCGTAACCTCCACATTTATAGTAGTACAAATTCTAAATGAATTACGTAAAATTGAAGTATGTTTAATATAAAAGGTCTGATATAGAGTAAAAGTTGGAAATGTATTAAAATAAGAGTGAAATTTCTAGATTTTACAATTACACTAGGTGGATATGGTTCTATATAATATTTTTAAGTAATAAATAAATTTTAAGTTCTATAACATATGATATAGCAATTTTCAGATTTTATTGCATAATATGATATATTTTAATTCAATTTGTTATGATTTTTTTTTTCCGTTTGAAACTGAAACTTCATAAAGTAT